TTGAAAAGCTCCTGATGTGGTCTGGCATCAAGGTCTTAAAAGCAAGCCTTTACACTTCATCTGCTATTAGAAAAAAAAACCAAACACAAACCCCTGGAATTTTAAATGCTATATATAATATAAAAAAAATAACTAAAATTAGGTGAAATTTTTTCTTTTTATCATTCCATCTAAGATAGCAATTGCTTTTACAGTGGCTTCCCTTCTTTTAAGAAAGATGCAGAGCTCTAATCTTGGAAGGTCTGGTCAGTGAAGTTATTCCTTCTACCTAATCAGTTTGTGTCAAAATACATTTATGTTAAAGTACACTTATAATGCTGTAGTTAACAGCTTCTCCCCTCCCCCCTGCAAAAAGTATGCTTGAAGCTCAAGGTGGTCAAAGACTGTCTAGTGGAAGCTTTTTCTGTGTATTGGGATGGATGAATAAATCTTTTGAGAGGTGAGCACTTGCCATTTTTGGAAGACAACAGTATAAATATGCTACTTAGTGAGACAGATGCCTTTGAGGAAATATTTCTGTATTGGGTGTTTTTGTTGATGCTAGGAGAGAAACATTGTATCTTTTTCAAAAGCTTTGGAAAATGGTAGGAACAATTCTGTTTTAAGTCCTTCCTGTAATTTACGCTGTTTCAGCTGTTAAAAGGTCAGTTAGAGATTTGCAGTAAACTTAGCTTGTAGATGTTATTCTCTTAATTTTCCTTCTTTTTTAAAGCGTGGACCTTTACCATTGATTGGGGTAAAGACTCTCTTCGTGAACTTGGCATTCACATAGACGATGGTAACTCTTAAATTGAAGCTTTTAATGTAGTTTTTTATTTTTTAAGGATGGCTATTTTCTTGTCAACAGGTCTAACAATTAGAGGAAGGACTTTGTACTTAATCTGAAATATGGCAGGAGAGGAATGTCCTTTAAAGCTTTCTAGATCTTAGGTTGATACCTCCCCCTGCCCCCGCTGTTGAAAACAGTTTCTACAGGGCATGAAAAACAGGTTTATAGTTAGTTAATGCTTCTCTGGAAATAAACTGTAAAAATACTATAATAAAACCAGTTTTTAGAGATGTTCTATTTTGTAAAGCAACGGTTTGATTGCTTGGAAGGAAGGCAGACCAACCCACTCAAATGGGCTACTGCTTAGTGTGTCCTTAATTATAACATGGCTTTTTTTTTTTTTATAAGTATAGGCTTCTCCTTAGGTTGCCTGCTAAAGAAGCTTATCTTAAATGTCACGGCTGCCTTTTTAAAGTTGACTTGTATAAGGATATCCTGTATAGTATGTTGTCTTAATTGCTCAGAGTAGCTGCAAACAACAAAGGGACCTACAACAGACAGCTGAATACTTTCCTTCCTTACACAACTGGTACTGGTGATGGTGTGGATACTGTAACTGAGGGGAAAGTGCTCCTAGTTTCAAGAAAACAGAGATACTCGTGACCATTTGTTTAAACATGCATACACTGAAGTGAAATTGTAAATGACAGACCTTCTTAGTATTCAACTTGCTCAAGGATTGTGAGGAGTTATTTCCTGTAGGGGTTGGGAAATGGTGTTCTCCGCCTGAATGGGGAGGCTGGTGCTCTGGACGGGAGACTTGCTGACTCAAGGTGGGTGGGTACAGAGATTGGGAATTTCCTTCCAGGATTAGAAGACAAAGAGGGTGGCTAAGAGCACTGCAGACATCCTGGGACAGCATGGGTTAGTGATCTGGACTAAATTATGGAGAGAGGAATTTTTGCTAACGGTGTGTCCGAGGAAGGCTGGTTGAAGAGGAAGCCTCGCAAGGCTGCATACTCCTGATTGGAGACTTCTCCCTCCCAGTCTTAGGTGTGGCTTAATAGCTATTCTTAGGTAATAAGGAAACTCGGTTATTTCTTTTTCTCTTCTTCCCCAACCCATACTGCACCTTTTATGTGGGTGTGTACACATGTATATGTTTTTCTTATATTCTGCAGGTAGTGGAAGAGAACTACATACAACTGTAGGAAAGACGGCAGCTTTGATAGGTTAGGATCTTGACCACCAGATAACAGGTTTTGTAGATCTTCCTATGGCTTGGTTTTACTCAGTGTCTGATAGTTAACTTTTCCTTTTAGGTAGCAAGACCAGGATGTAGAAAATAGACACAAGTTAGGATAACTCTGAAAGGAAATACTGGTTTATTGGTTTCAAAAGGAATGAAAAATTTGGTTGTACTGAGAAAGAAAAGGGCTGTTGGGCTGTTACCCTTGGAAGAATGCAGCTTAATGTCTCTTGATTTTCTTTTCTTTGAGAATCTTTACTGGAAATGCTGCATGAGCAAAATGATAAAAAATATCTTGAATCCTGCTGATGTCCCATGTTGTCATGCTGGGTTGGTAAACTCTCTTGCCATAATGCTGTGTGTTTTCTGAACTATCTGAGTAGCTTTGCAGCATGGCTAACAGGGCTTTGGCCTAGGGAATCTGCTCGTATGTTCAGTCTCAGCAATGAGTGCGTTTCCATGACCATTGCGTAAAGTGTTGTCATCTGGGGGGCCCAGACTGCTACAAAAATATGGGATACAAGTAAGCCCAGAGTGCGTGCATCTGTCTCTTCATGGGAAGATTTACATCTCAGCCACGTACAAACCACGTTTTGAGAAAAAGCTCACTGACACTGTCAAAACGGATTTCTTTTTTAAGTTTACATCTGTGCTCTTATAGATTAAATGACATAGAGATTTCGCTAAGGGTTAAGTGATTATTTTAAAACAGACGTTGTTTTTATAACAAGTATTTAAAAAAATAATTTCTCAGAACTTGAAACTTCAATTGAAAACTTTGAAAATGCCTTTGTATAAAGCAAACATGGATGGTTTCTGTCTGAAAAGAAGTTGTTTCAGATACTCAAGTAATTAAAATATTTTGTTGTTTTCTAAGGTTGCCTGAATATTCCAGCTGAAATTTTGGGCTTGATTGAGGGTTTATAATAGGTTGTGAAAGTGTTGTGTGTTTTCTGGGTTTTTTTTCTCTCGTTTTTAATTATTGCACCGAGGTAAAAAGATCAGTTGAATATTTTCCTGTTTGACCAAAATGTGGGGTTTTTTCCTCTCAAACTTACCACGTTCGAACTTGCCTATTTGCTCATCTGTTCCGCTGCCCAGCGCTGCGTATGCCACTACCAGCTCCATCCGAGGGCTTGCAATGAGCACGCATTAACGAAATGTGGCCGTGCTCTGGGTTGTTGCGGATTAACTGGTGGCTGAAATAGGGTATTCCTCTGCTTACAAACAATTGTTTCCTACCTGAGCTGTGTTTTGAAAAAACAGAGTAACACCTTTCACAGCAGACTGTTTACACAGGAGCAGGACGAGGGAAACAAGCTGTTAGTGACTACTCTCATGAATAATCTGGCAGCCTGCCCAGCAGCCTGAATTGCCACCGGTTGGGAAAACGCAACCAAGAGAGATCTGTTAAAGAATGTGCTCTTTACTGTGCTGTATTGTAGATGCAAGATGGGAGACTCCCCCCGCCCCATTCCTCACTGGGCATTAGGATTTCAGTGGCTGTTGAGGTTTGGCCTCAGTTGAAAGGCTTTCTTAGTGGTGGTTGTTTTTTTTTTTTTTGTTTGCGTGCAAATGAACCGCTATGTTAGCGTCATTTTGGCAGACTGAAAGTTAAAAAGCAGCAAAAATAAAACCTGTGTGAAAGATGCTGCTTTCAAATAAGGGAATTGAAGCTGTTGTGGTCACATTTTTTATTAACAGAAAATTATCCATGGGAGAACAAATCTGCTGGGTAGCTGCCTGTTCATTGCACTTACCCATTGATTGTGCCTCTCAAGTTCAGTGGTACACCTTTGAGAGTTGGTAGTCCATGGGGATGAGAGTGAGGCAGCCCTGCAAGTTGTTGCCTATTGTTGGAGATGTCAAAGTGCATGGATACTTTCCCAGTGAAGCTGTTTTTACAAACATTCTTTAATAAAAGATTCCAAACAGCATAAAGGTCCCTCTTTCAGGAATCTGTCGAAGTGACAGTGCTCTGTTCCCAGAACAGCTTTCCCCAAGAATTTGATTATGCTTAGATTTACAGGAAGGACCAGATGTTCTCACTACTTAAACTAACATCGAAAAAAAGGAAAATGAAGGAACCACGTAGAAAAACTAAGTTCAGGCATTCATGTAAACTCTGAACAATGTCTGCAGTTTTAATTTAGTTTATGGGCTTTCCTATCTCATTTTCATTTCAGAATAAGCCCTGTGAAATACATTCATGCAAAATTTAAGTTGAAAGAACTGAGAGCAGGCTCTGCAGGGTTCTGCTGTACCACAAGAGGGCATTTTTGGTGCCAACTCTGCAACTATTAAGGAATAAATGTGCTTTTAAATGCCTCACTTTGCGTGAATTGGTCTTGAAAACTAGAATTGAAATGATGCATCTTCTCCAAGCTCCTTAGTTTCATAACTAAGAAAGAACAGTTTGAGATCTTTGTTCTACTTAACATGGAATTGTTGAATGATTTTTGTAATTACATAAAGCCTGAGAATTCAAAATAGAATTGTGTTAGATTCAGAATTTTGTGCCTGGTGAAGTTTATTTAAACGATCTGCCTAGTATTGATTACAAAGAATTCAGCTGGATGTTGAAGAAACTTTGATGCTAGAACCGTTTCCTTTTAGGACCATTAACTTAAAATGATGTGGTTCAGTGAGGAAGACTGATCATAAGAACAGTGTCTCCTTTTGTTCTGTTTATATGGAATTCAAGACTCGTAAAACTAGAGGAAATGTACTATAAATACAACAATGTAAAGTGCTTTAAATAATGCAAGATATCGTCATGCTAACATTGTACAGAGTTTGCATTTTATTACTAGTTTAGTTCAGTAATACTGTAAATGGGAGAAAAAAATGTGCGTAGTAAGTTTGACTTGCCATTTAATTCAGAGATGCCCACCCTTTGTAGTGGGATGAGCCACAGTTTCTTTCAGTAAGCCCTGGAAGACCTATGCCTGTTGTTTCCTCCTTGTGGATGAGGATGCCTGCATGCGATTGCTTCATCATGTGCCTGGGACGTGCGTGTGCCTGTTGCCCGTGAGTGTATATCCTCTTAACAATACGGCGGCGTCCTCCTGCGTGTGCTCTTCTCAGGTGAGAGGATACATTCATGCGCTTTGGTTCTTTATCTTGATTCTCAAACCTGTTATGTGATAAGGGGGCTCTTTAGTCATAAGAGTTGCAGGAGCAGAACGCCGGAAAAGTTGAAATATGTCTGGTTTTGAGCATTCCTCAGGAAATTTCAGCTGCAAGGAACAGCATATAAACTAGATGAATTGTTCTGGCAGGTTCGGTTTGTTATGCCAGCTCAACTAATCTTCAGGGGCTTTCTGTTCTCGCTGAACAGAAAACATAATTACAGTAGGATTTGGTTTGTTTGTTTTCTAAAATGTGGCAATTTAAGGCTTGAGAAACATTGTTCATGCTCTCAGGTTGGTGGGCCAAATTTAGGACGAAAACATTAGCAAATACTAGAAAAACAACATTGTGAATTTGCAAAGTTGACACAAAAATTCTATCTGCAGCAAAATTTGGCTAGATTGTTTTAATGTAATTTTTGCTCCGCCAAATTCACATTTCAAAAGTGAATTCACAAAGAAAAAAAAACTTTTATTTCTTTAATAACCAACCCATGCATTATTAGTTTCAAAGATAATACCAGATCTCTGTCCATAAAAACTTTAGTTATGAAATATCTTTAGCTTTATTTACTTCAGTCACTCAGCATTTTTTGCTGTTGTGTTAACGTTCTAAAGTACTCCAATTTGTAAATGAAAATTGTACTGAAATTGTGCCTTTAAAAGTCAGTGGTATGCTCTGTGTCAGGGAGATAGACAACCGTGTTTTTATCATTCAGTTCTGCAGCATCTCTGCATGATTATTCAAAGGATGGTTGAAGCCTTCTGAATACTTTATGTGGAGTGGTGTGGTGGCACTAGTAATTTTTGCACATCAGTTAAATAATGTGAATGCTTATCTATAATAATGCTGTTCAGTTAGATTTGGCATGGTTCATTAGGAAAAACATTAATTCTTCTGCTGAGGTAGTTTTATATTGAGAAATTTTTTTTTTTGTTGTGCTGCATATTTTTTCTCAAATTTATGTGCTTCTGTATATGATGTGCCTGTTTTTGTGGCTTACTTGCCAATAATCTGATTACTTCATTGCTTGGTTAGTTGTTCTTTTTTTTTTTTTCCCCTTTAAAAGAAAATCTGCTTTACTGCCTTTTTTTTGGAAAATAAAAAACCAGTATGTGAAAGCACTGTTGTAATGCGTGTACTTTGAAAGAAGAAATAGCAAACTGAATACATGCTGAAAGAAAGGGTAACATTTATTTTTTTAAACTGGATTCTGCAATGCTTCTGTGTCTTCTAACAACTTCATTTTGAGGCTGTTACACAATTTTAATCTTTTTGCAATGAGGAGGTGCATGTGCTGGTAACTCCTATTGTTCACCCTTAAGGAACAGTGTTTTGTCATTAGAAAGAGTTAGGATGGCAATTACAAACATTTTACCTATTTCTATTTTTAAACCTTTTTGCTTGTTTTTGCGTAGAAATGCAAAAAGAACTAGTTCCAAAGTGAAGCTCTATTCTTTTCGCAGTGTTAGGGGCAACAGTCAAAAATGTAGAAAGCTGCTGGAGATTTGGGTTTATACATGCTTATAGAGAGACTCTGTTGAATAAAATGAATGAAGTCTAAGTATTTGGTCTTTATCTAGCCCTTCTTGGATTCTTAAAGCATGTTAATATAAGAAGTACTGTCATAATTGGCACCGAGTAATTAATATTTTGAAAATCTTAATTGAGGCTTGGCCTGGATTACTCATGGAATCTCTGTTGTTTTCCTCTATAAATTCTTCTGTAAATTGGTGTTAAACTGCAGGGGAAGCTGGTAGAAGTCCAAAGATACACACCTATGCAACAGATGTACTTGCCTGCAGATACATACATGACTTGGAACTCATAGTGCCAATAAAACACTTTTCAAAAATCCTTCTGTTCTAAATCTAGAGTCTGGGAAGTATGACAAGTTGTGCTAGCTGTATTTAAAAACAAACATACCCTCCCTCTTCCCACACATGCACGTGTAGAAATGACAAGACTTAACATTTGCATCAGCATAGAACTACAGAACTTGCATCCATACATGTTAGGAAAAAAACACGCTGGATTTGTGGAAAATAAGACATTAAATGTCTTGTCAGAAGTCACCTTTTGGATGGTAAGGTTTTACAAAGATGCTGCTAGTAGTAAATATTTCCAGTGGAGACCTATCCAACAAATCAAGCAGTAGATTCCAGGGAAGTTCCACTAAAACTTCAGTGTTACTTCAAATTGGTAAAGCTCTTGGATAGTACAATAAAGGGCCTGTTGTAGTATAAAGTATTTGCAGTCAGGCTTATTCAGACAAGACAATGATTGCTTTTGTTCGTATGTGTAATGTAAATGGCGCTTTTCAAGTAATGATGTTTAACTTCTGGTGCTTTTAGAATGCCTTTGGAAAATAATATCTTCAGCTAAGATGATTGATTTTTGAATAGATTGTACTTTATAGGCTGGATATTTTTCATAATAGTCTTCTAATTTAACACTATAACTTCTTGAGAAAAACAATTGTTTGAAACATTTTAATTTGTACATGCTTTTTATGTTTTGGAACTACTTAGAACAGTGAATGGTATGTTTACGTGCTGCCCAAGAAATGTTTACTTTTTGCGATTTGTAACAGTAGAAGGAAAGAATTAGTGGAGGGATGTGTACAGAACCTGAGTGACTGCTCCTCAACATATAATGTTTGGACATGAGCTTTTCCAAGGAGTTGTTAGGAGATTACTCTGCTGTATACTGGTCTATAAATGAGTAAACATTAGTCCCCATTTTACGTATGTGACTACTGTATCACTTGGTGTGGAAAAAATACAGTAGTGGTCAAAACAAACAATATAGCATTACAGGCTATAACTAGAACATGTCTGCTTTGTGGTTTAATGCCCAGGGCCAAATCCTAGGAATGTTAATTTGGCCATGATGCACATGTTCTTACTTGCAGTGCTTTGGAATATGTCCTGTGCTGCCATTCTGTTGCGGACAAAATTGGTGTAGAGAGCACAGTATCTCACCACAGGCATTGTACTTTTGTGAAATTCTGGTTTTGAAAAGGAGAAAGAAATGGAGAACAGTTTTACTTAACCTGGAGACAATATCTATTTGACTGGCAGTAAATATCTTTGCGTGTATTCCTTAAACATATGAATGGCTTGCAATTTCTGCACTTAAAGTAATAAAACCAGAACAATTAATAACAGTCTGTCAAAGTTTTGCTTCTTTATAAAGTCTCTCCTACAAATATTTAATAAATAGGAGAATAATGAATTTGTTAAAAACAATAAAAGTTGTTTTTCCTATTACTTAGCATATGTATTTGTTTTGTTTTTTTTTTCTACTTCATCTCCACATTATTTATTATATTTGGCACAAAATAAAGGTGCCTGTACTGTCTATACACTAGCTATGTACACTGTTATAGAGGGGGCAATTGCGTTTACTGGCCTCACAGTTATTATGGGAGAGGGAATCTTGAAATGTAACAGATGATGGCCAGATTGGCTAATGAATATAAACATTATTTGGTCATGGTTCAGCTGGTGACCTTGACAGTACCTTTTTAGAAAATGGAATTTCTTTAGCAGTTAATGATCAAATTTGTCATCCATTTTGAGGCATTTGTTTAGGCCTTTTGTTTTTAAGCTAAATAATGAAATTAGATGATAGATTGTGTGTTCACAGTTTTGAATCTTACTAAAGCTGGGCTTCTCTCAATACTAAAAAAAGATCAAATTTATATAGCTAAACTACTCAAACGGAGAAAATAGTTATTGCTGTTTATTTCTCAAGAATATAATAACTATATGTGTTTCTTATGTAATTAGATTGTCATCTAAAACTTTGTGGAAAGATGGTATGTTGGTTTTGTATATGTGCCTTTAATTTTATGTAGAGGACTTAGGTAAACTATCTCTCCACGATTTAGATTAGTACGCCTTACGGTAGTACTGATGTGCATGTTTGTCCTGGCTTACCTCTTTTAATGGCATTGTAATACACTTGTTGCTTTGTGCATGAGGATTTGCTAGCTCTCTGTAATTGTTACAGTAGCTGAGATTCTGTGTGACCACAAATTCAGTTGCATCATGTGAATATAATTAACTCTCATTACGTGTGCCTCATAAGTTCCATTCAGTTATCTGAGTTGTAATCAGCTGAAAAAGTAATGGAGATACTGTATTCAGCAGCCACGCAGAAGAAATGTAGGAATGTGTAAACAGTGGTTTGATCTGTGTTGGGAAGTGCTGGACCTCAGTGGCCAGGACAAGAAAGCTGAGAATCCAGCAAAGGCAGAAGAGGTATCACTAAGTCAGAACAGTGTTCACTGAGCCTATGCATAGAAGGAAACACGGAGGGAAACATTACAGTGTGAAGGAGTAAGATGTTTTATAGCATTTCTTCCTATTAATTCTGTAGCTGTGGATGTGCCTGTTGCTCTCCTAAAATGATTGCTGAAGTGCTCATCTTTTAAACTAAAAGTCAAAGGTGGCAGTTTGAGAATCTCCTATCTTGCTTATAACCAAGGTACTGAATTTCAGACTACACTTTTGAGATCCCGCCACCCTTCCCTCCAGTGAGTCCTCCTTGCATATGATGTTTTGCCAAAATACGTGTCATCCATTGTGATGGGTTTTCTACCAAATTACCTGTAAATAGTAAGTATTAGCAAATATATGTAAAGATCGGAGGCAAAAATTGTGTGGGACATAGAGGAAAACCAAATATTTACTTGCGCACTAATAAATTAGCATATTTGGATGATCTGCTGAATGATAATTAAAGGCTTATTCTGTCACCTTTAAATCTCATGCCTTGACTTTTTCCAGAAACTGTTTCTGTTCTCTGAGCTAAATCCGCAGTATCTGTCTCTATCCTTTCCTTTTATATGAGCTTTTAACAGTAGCCTTTCAAGTAAGCCGAGTGTGCTGACGGTTGTGAGAAGTATTCATAAGTGAAATTTTAATGGATGGAAAATGAGGAATGGT